GAGCCTGCCCCTACGTGCAACAGCCGAGGCTGCTGCGTGGCCCTACCACCGTGAATTTTTTTTAATTTTAATTAAGTGATAAACGCCACCCATGGACATTTGCAACACCCGCAGGGTTGCAGATGCGTTTCCACCTTTTTATAATTGGACCACGGTTACATCGCTCACAAGCCAAACGCAGAAGTATAAGACTTCCCCGGACGGACCTGCCCATTCGTGCAACAGCGAAGACTGTTACGTGGCCCTACTACAGTCAAAAATATATGAAACTAAAGTCTTTAAAGTAAATCCCCATACTTTGACACGCAGTAACTCCTGTCACAAACAAGGCGCCAGATTGGCTGGACGCCAATGGTCTCTCGTCCAAGGAATACTTTGCTTTACTCTTTGTAATTCGCGAGACCATTAAGGACGAGTAGCCATTGTTTAAGTTTTACACATTCGAAACTAAAGAGCATGATGATATGTATGCACGTATATAATTTTGTTTCTTCGATAGCACGGACAGACGGACTTTATTTCGGGACTACTACTAAAAAAATAACATAGCCAGAATATATGTATGTATATAATAGAGAATGTATGTATGTATGTTCACCTAAAACTAGAGAACCGTTAGCCCAATTAACATGAAACTGCACATATATAAACGGCGACATGACCACTCTCACAGACATAGTGACGTTATTGCCGGATAGGTGGCGCTGGTGGCAGTCATTATTCTTATGAACCATAAATCGAATTGACATACGGTTACACGTAAGATTTTTTCTAGGTAAAGCGAGGCGCACCGGACACCAGCTAGATACATTATATATGAGGGCTAGGAATAAAGCATCACAAAGTTGCGTTCCCCCTAAGTTTATTATCGACAGTAAAACAATAACCGAAGTTTGAGCATTTAAAGATTTCTTTTCATCTGTTGGCTTCACCAATAATTGATATCACTCTAATTAATTCCATTAACAATTTAAGACCATGAAATCGGCAAGAAATTGTAAAAATTACAGACAATTTGGACAATAATATAAGCTCATTAAAAGATTCCATCTCAACCTTTTTATGTGTGAAGGTAGCAAACGAGCTGGCGGTTCACCTGATGTTAAGTGATAACCGCCGTCCACGGACATTTGGTACTCCCGTAGTTCAAATCAATACTTAATGTTACATTCTGGAGCATACAGCTCCACGAACATAGCTGGTAATATTCTTTGACCATTATTCAAAGTTAGCACATCAAATAGCAAACTTCTTTCACAAACTAGCACCAAAAACCTATCTAGTGCCTTATCGTTTGTAACAGAAGATTGATTGCAGAAATCTAACATATTGCACTCAAATTACCAAAACCTAATTGCTACCACTTCAAAAGTACACTAAACTAAATATTCTCATGTCCTTAGACCATTATAAGTAAGACCAACATAAACATAGTTAGGTACATTAAATGATGGAAATCGTTCCGAAATTATTAGACTCCAACGCGACTGAGAAATCCAATACAGCTGCAATCTCATTGGTGCGATCCGTTGGGCGCAATTCGAACCCACGACCTCTGATAGCGGTTTCAGAGTACTTCAAACCTAACTCCTCGGCGAGTAAACATAAATACGCATACACACGGAACGGCTAAACAAGTGTCAACGCTAAATGGCCTAATAGCAGCCGACACACGTCTAACGTTTCTGTATAAGTTGCGATGACTCAATTATCCTATTTTAGTTCAGTGATTCGACCGCGCAAATTGTTTGACGACGCCAATTGTGATAAAAATACAATTCCATTAAACTCTTTAATTAGTCCTTTTTTGTAAAGAGCCCTGTGGTACAGTGATCGGCCAGCCATTCCGATTGTATTCGCAAATTCTGATCCTAGTGGAGCAAACAGAAAGGTCAAGTGTACATCTTTCAGCTTTTCATCGTTGAGATAAATCATCATCATCAATTTACGAAACTTTAGACCTTGATATTTCATTCAGAGAATATTACTAACTTTACAATCCGATTTACAGTAAACATTATTTAAACATAAAATAATGAAAAAATGTCAAATGATACAAGGCGACAATTGTTTACAATGTACTTACGTTGGCAAATAATTAACCTCAAAGTGTCACCTAGTCTATGATGATTCTTGGACTCTTAGAGGGTCGTAAAACATCAATTTACCTTGTCCGCTACAATGGACCGTTAAAATTAATATACAAAACAACACGCGATCCAGTTAGCCGATAGGACACGTAAATATAAAATTGCTTCTCCACATAAAGGCTAAAAGATAAACGAGGAAAAAATCATAGATTAAATCTACTAAGTTTTTTAAACTGCAGCAAAAAGTCACTACCTGTCTAGAAAATTATTGGATTAGTACTTTTACTTATATTCTGGATGAGAATATTCATCGTTGGATTTTTAGAGTGAATTAAAAACGAATATGTTACGCCATGTAAAAAAGTTCAAACGGATTTTTAAGAAATAAATAAATAAATATTTTAGGACACATTTTTACACAACATTCTCTAGTCCCAAACGAAGCAAAGCTTGTACTTACTTATTAAACATACCTTTCTTTTGTAAATAAATACATATTATAAATATATTAACACCCAGACACTAGAAAAATAATAGTATTTTTCAACATAGTTATTTTTAACATAGATTAATCACACAAAATTTATCCAGTAGTGGGGATCGAATCCACACCCTCTGGCGCAGGAGGCAGATACACTACCCACAACACCATTCGGGTCGTCAATCTAGTCCCTCTAATTAGATCGCCGCAATCAAAAAGCTTTACAATAAAAAGTCATCAAAACTCCCTTAACATTACACATATCTCAAACTGCATGCTTATCCCTTCTACAGTCCACCGCGCAAGTTCGACGGCAGTCTAGCAATCAAAAAGCCATTACGCGAACAGACTTCCTGGACAGCAGCGCGCATTATAGGGATTCACGCATTCCTGCGTTTATCGACACTAATTTTACACCGCCGCAACGTTTTAGTTGTATTACAAGATATGGGAACTTAGTGGGGGAGAAGCGACAAATAAAACAACTGGTAGAGAGCAAAATACACCATTACTACCGATTTTCCTACCGGTTCTTTCTGGGACGTTAATGATTTTTGATCTGAAAGGTACCATTTATCCACTACTATTAACCAAGATCAGAATACAAACTAAATTCGCTGACCATCCATAATATTGTAATGAATAGACACGATTAACAGAAGACGGTTTACATGAAGGTGCCCGCCTTGACGTGGCGGAGGGGCTTAGTAGCCGTGGCTTGGTGGCACGGCTAAGAGGAACCCACACTGGGCCGGCCTGTGGTGCAAGGCCGGCCCCAGAGGGCCGCTCCGAGTGGGCTCATTGAGCCCACTCTGGATGCGTGCTGGAGGGTGCAGGGGACAGGTCGAGGGTGGTAGAGGTGGAGCCACTCTCCCTGTCTTCTGCTACCGAGGAGGAGTCGCGGGGAAAGAGGAGTGTCGGTATTGCGTTGGCCGTGCTCCCTATCCTCCGCGACTCGGCGGGGCTGCACCGCTGATGCAGTGGTGGTGGGGCCGCGGGGGGAGAGGAGTGTCGGTATTGCGGTGCGCCGTTCTCCCTATCCTCTGCGGCCGAAACGTGGTGAGCGGCGGAGCCACAGACCAGGTCCGCCGCTGGGGGCTGGGAGGCTTGCTGCTTATTGCTTAAGACGACCCAAATGGTGTAGTCGGTAGTGTACCTGCCTTCTGCGCCAGAGGGTGTGGGTTCGATCCCGACTACTGTAAAAATATTGTGTGATGAGCATAGTGTTTTTCTAGTGTCTGGGTGTTTATATATGTATAATGTATATTTATTTACAAAAGAAAAGTATGTTTAAGTATGTCTATGAGTTTTCTAGTACCCATAGTACAAGCATTGCTTAGTTTGGGACCAGAGAATGTTGTGTCAAAAGAACGTGTCCTAAAATTTATTTATTTATTTATTTATTAGCACTGGCTCTCCTGGCTCCCATGGCCGCCGGTCAGCGAAGGGGAGTTCGTTGGCCGTGAAAATGGGGCCGAGTAGGAAGGCGCGCTGAATGTTCCAGCGCGCCTTACCTGGAGGAGTGGAGAGTTGCTCCCCGTGACGGGGCTGCTAAGGCGGCCATCGCTGGCAGGGTCGCGGAAGTGTGCGAAAGCGTTCCCGTGACCCTGCCGATATGCGCCTAGGCGTAACATCGTGGGGGTTTTAGTCGGTGCGAGTCCGACACAACCCGCTCTTGCCCTCGCGAGGGCGGGTATGCGTAGGCATTTCCCACACGTCAAAAAAAAACGGTGATTGGTACTCGTAAATCGAGGCGGCCCATAGATCAGTGCTTGAAAGATACGTTACTATCGGTAGGAGAATAAGGTTGGTTACCTAACTCACAAAAGCAAAACTCTATGAAAGGTGACCGATTCGATTTCCATACACTACAATGTATGTCACATTCATTCAGAATGATAAATTTCATTACAACACAAAATGTCCACCAACATTTAGAACAGAGTTTAATTAAAAATTATGATAATAAACTCAAAGTATAAATACGTTGATTAATTTTGCATCGGCCAGTGATTAGATGTGTAATTCCTGTATCACTTCCGGTCTAACAAACACACCTGCAATTGCAAATATTTAACGGTGGTAGGGTCACGCAACAGTGTTCGCCGTTGCACGAATGGGCAGATCCGTCCACCTCACAGAAGACCGGCGTAAAGTGGAATGTTGCACTTCTGCGTTTCGTCTGGTGTGTGAGATAACCGGGGCCCACATTATTAAGAGATGGCAACGCATCTGCAACCCTACAGGTGTTGCAAATGTACAACACCTGTCCAACACCTGTTTGTTTATGGGCAGGCAGTTATAAGTTAACATCAGGTGAACCGCCAGCTCGCTTGCCACTTTCTCAAATAAAAAAAAAACATACCCCTGCCCAGTTGTAGGGATAAGCCATCACCACTAGCCAAGTAGGCAACAAAAATCCAACTGACCTCTCTAGCGAAGGCATCCGGCATTGTGAAGGTGGAGGTGATCCAACAGAAGGTGTTCACCACGTTAGCGGGCAGGCCGTTGACGATGCACTGAATGGGCGTCCCGACGTACTGCGTGGCGGTGATGATGAGCGAGCAGGTGAGAAGGAGGACCGTTGTGAACACATTGTGGAGCCTGAACACGGCGTTGTCAGTCTTTATGTCCTGGTACTTGAAGTAAACGCTCAAGCCGCCGAGGAGTCTCAACATTGTGGCGGCTATCTCATCACAGCTGGGAAGCTGTGTGCTACTTAAGGCCACGCAAAATCAGTCTTATCGGTGATTCATAGAGACGTGGGTGACACGACGTGGCGCCGGCGTATTGTCGGAGTCGCTTGTTATATCTAAAACAATAGAAAAACAATGTAGGTATTAGTATGCAGACCAGAACTTGACAACCGTAAGCTATAACAGTAATCAGGTGAACAACGTCCAACAAAGCGTGAGCTACAAATGTTACAGAGCATTCGAAACTTTGCCATTGGAAATTAAACGCAAATAAATCGATAACGATTCAGGTTTCTATGTTTTAATGATAGTATTAGTTATTTATTCGCTTCAAAACAACAATAGAATAGTGTTTATAAGCAAATCTCTTCGTTCATTCATAAAAATAGCCTACTGAGTGATTATCAGTCTGGGTTTCGTTCGGGACATAGCACCACCACTGCCTTACTTAAAATTACCGATGACATAAGATTGGGTATGGATGGTAAGAAAGTGACAGTGATGGTGCTTGTCGACTTCTCTAACGCTTTTAACACAGTTGATTACGATATCCTACTCTGTGTACTTGCTCAATTAAGATTCGCTCCCACAGCGATGGATTGGTTCTCATCTTATCTCCGCGGGCGTCAGCAGTCCGTCTTTATGGGCCAAGAGTCTTCACAATGGGCTGATATTGAGTCTGGCGTACCACAAGGCGGTATACTCTCCCCCATATTATTCTCAGTCTTTATAAACTCGATCACAACATATATTGATTGTCCATACCATCTGTATGCGGATGACTTGCAACTGTACCTACAGGCTGATATCGGTGACCTCCATAACGCGTTCATCAGACTAAATTCCAACTTGAGTATTATTCACGATTGGTCAACGCAATATGGCATATCTGTTAACCCCAATAAGTGCCAAGCAATGCTCGTTGGAAGCTCTAGAATGCTGTCGAAAATTGATTTCCCTAGTCTGCCTGTTATCCAATACAATAACAAACCTATTCCGTTGGCAAATTCCATAAAAAATCTTGGACTCTTTATGGACAGCACTATGAACTGGGGAGTACAAGTCACTGAAATTAGCCGTAAAGCCTTTGTAACCATGCGAACTCTATATCGTCTAAAGAATTTTCTCCCTTTCAAGATCAAACTCTTACTTGTTCAGTCACTTATTCTACCAATAATTGACTATGCAGATGTTTGTTACCCAGACTTGAACAATGACCTTCTCAACAAGCTTGAAGGCCTATCCAACAACTGTATCAGATACGTTTTCGGCATTCGAAAATTTGATCACATTACTCCCTATCGCACTAGACTTAAATGGCTTACAGTTAAACAAAGACGGAATTCAAGAATTCTCTTCATGCTTTTTTCGATTTTAAATGACCCAGCTTCACCATCCTATCTTAAAGATAAATTTAAATACCTCTATCAAAACAACGAAAGAAACCTCCGTTCTTCTCAAAATTTCTATTCCTCCACATAATTCTAGTTTCTTCGGTGACTCTTTCGCCGTTCAGGCTGCATTACTTTGGAACTCCCTGCCTGAAGACATACGTAGTGCCCCTTGCAACGGCCTCATTCAAACGCAAAGTCCGCGAATTTTACTTAACATCTGAATGTTAAATTTCATCATTATTTCAATATCGTTTATATGTTTGTATTTATGTATATATGTTAGTGTTTTTATATTTAATATGTATTGTATATTTGTATATATATATATATTTATTTTGTATATGTATGTAAGTATTTATATTTATTTAAGCGTGTGTATATTCCATACATTGTATATTTCATTCACATTAGTAATGTACTTGTTTTTTTTTCTTCTTTTTATTGCACCTACCACAATTTATCTCCACGCCCCGGGTTGACTGGAAGAGAATGCCTAAAGGCATTAAGTTCGCCCTTTGTAATCCTTGTTTAAGTTAATTGCAATAAAGTATATATAAATAAAAACAAATAGAAAATAGAGAAAAAAAATCTATCGTTCCATAAAATAAATATAGTACATTCTACAAAAAAAGTATACGCCCATACTATTTCAAACATAAACCAGATTCCCACACACATATCGAAAAACATTGCGTTACCACTGTAATATGACCCATAAAGTAGGAGGATTATAATCGGAAATCATGCAAACCACTCTCGGGTACCGCAAGGCACAGTTGTAGGCCCACAAGTTTTGTAAAGGTCAATGCCCTATTATCGTGATCACAGTTGCCTATCTAAGAAAGTAAATGGTGCTTATGCACAGATTAAAATAAGTTCAACTTAAAATAACCTTTCACTTGCAACGAGCGAAGTGGAAAGCGTTAACGCTGATAAAATATTGCTTGTAGAGCCTAATATTTTACGGTTAATCAATCACGATAACGTTAAAATCTATAACGTCTGCGTGCGGTTACCTTAAAAAACGGCCCACTGGGATGATATTAGCGACATTATAAGTGAGAGCAAGATTACATTTTACTTTTAATGAAACCTATTTTCATATCTCTTATCCTTTAAACGAGCAATTCTTGTATATATATATATATAAACGGCTCCAGCGATTTTCATGAAATTTAGTATGTACGCAGATTCGGGGGCGAAAAATCGATCTAGCTAGGTTTTATTTTTAGAAAATGTTCTTTTTATCCCTGTTTTCAGGGAATGAAAAATATCATTCGAATATGACGGTAAATTTCGCCGCAAAAAAAATGTTATAATAGCTCGGTCGGTAATCGGGCGGCCTCAAAACAGACGGCCGCGGTTCGTATCATGAACATTTACACACTTATTTTTTTTTTTACTTTTTTTTCTATACCAGATCATTTTCTTTGTTTTTTTTATTTCCAAAATACATGATTTAAAACAAAAAAAAAAAACGAGCAAAGCTCGGTCCTAAAGGTACTTTAGGACCGAGCTTTGCTCGTAACTTAATACGTTTTGATGTTTCTTTTCTGTTAAAGTAATACATATAAGTGTTACGTAAAATTTACCTTTCCTAAAACAATTTAATCTTTTTAGAGTCAAAAGAAAAAAACTTTATGCCTTTCTTTTCTTTAATACACTACCAACCATCCATGGGTGGGTAATTCAAATTATATTTCGTGCTTCGTGACAGTCAGTAAAAAGAGGGAAGGTGGACTAAAACAAAGTGAAATGATGACGATGAAATATAAATAACTGAAAATGACACCAACATTTAAATTATAGCATGAGTGAAATATTAACATACAGATGTCTAAACTGCCATAATCGAATATGTCAGTAATAAAGATCAGCGGGCACTGAACCGTGGCCCTTCAATTACGCTTTGTGCATTTTGCCCAGTTGTGAAACAACGTTTCCCAATGATCGATTGTTAGCGCCCAATGTTTTGGGAGCTCGCAGCGGTGCCAGGTCGCGTGGGAACTGGATGAACGGTGACATAAAAAGCAATCCAGTCTACATCTACCCTATTCTTAAATAAACCGTCATTATACAACTCAAGATGATCAAACCCTACTTATCCCGCCACAATGAAACTCAAAGGACAAGGACTCAAAAGACCTCCGATTTAAACTGTGGCAAAACTATCGAAAGCTCGGATCAAATTGACAAAACAACTTATATTATCTACAGTTGAAACTAAGTGTTTAATGCTAAATGTATATTTACATTTGGTAAATGTATATTTCTCTACAGCATTAGTAGCACACCAACATTATTTTCTTTCAATATTTTTAATAAAATCGCCGCTCTTCTTGAATGCAAAAAGTGACAACTCATTCCAAGTGCTAATAAATGTCTGTTGATTACAGGTGGACTGCCGACCATGAAAGTAGTATTCATGTCATTAAAAATTGGAACTAATCATTAAGTTTGTCACAATTATTGCAGCCATATCGCACTTCAAAGATTTATAGCCACATAAACCTGAAACTCCTATTGACGGAAGCATCGTATAACAATCAAACATCCAAATTTAATCCTACCTGCCTAATGTTCGCAACCGAAAACACTGTATAATTATTTAAACATTTAAGTGGTTAGAAAATATTTTATAAAATTAATTTCAAAGGAAAGACATCGTAGAATGTCATAAATATAATATATCCGACATTGTTAATCTTAACACTTATCCTAAAATGTGAAATCTCTATTTTCTCCGAACTGACCGATTTCTCAATTTAAAAAGTGTTACAACAAAAACAACCTTTCAGCTTGTTACCGCCTTTGAAAAGCGATTCTTACAAAGAAAAACACCACAGAAACGTGATCTATTCTTTAGCGTCGCTTTCTAAGTTACTAAAAATCCTGAACAAACCTCTAACAAAACGTAGAAAACAAACATCAAATGAGACTTTCATGATTGGGTGTAAATTGAATTTTTTTACCACAATGCTAATCGGTTCTATTATTTTTTTATGTGATAAATTGACAAACAAGCTGGTGGTTCAGCTGATGTTAAGTGACAACCGCCGCCCATGGACAGTTGCATATGCGTTGCCACCTTTTAATAAAGTGGGCCCCGGCTACCTCACTCACCAGGCGAAACGCTGAAGTGTAACACTTCCACTTCACGCCGGTCTTCTGTGAGGTCATGGTACTTATCCGGACGGACCTGCCCATTCGTGCAACAGCGAACACTGTTGCGTAGCCCTATCACAGTATAATATTTGTTGTATACTTCAGCCACAGAGCAGGTGGTAGTGCTGTAGCTGAGGAGTACCAAACATTACTGAGAGCTTTAGCAAGAGTTCATAAGAGCTTTGAATTCACCTAAATCAAATAAAGAGCTTTAAGCGTGTTAATATAAACTTTGATCGCGAAGGACAAATCAGCTACAGTAATAATCAAATACAAAACAACCCTATCCATTGTGGTTACTATAATCGCAGTTAGTACAGCAGTTATTGTATCAGACTTAATGTACATAAGGCTGACATCCGTAAAAATAGCAGACAAAGGCCGGTTCAAATGTGTCCCAAATTTGTCACGCTTAGGTCACGA